AACAAACGTGGCCCGGCTCGGCTCAGCGCAGCTCGGCTCGGCACGGCCCGACCTGGATCGGCTCGGCTTGGCCCGGCCCGGCCCGGCTGCTGCCTTCCCCCAGGGAGAACCGTGGCTCCTGCGCACCCCGGGAGCGGGAGGGCAGCGACGGCCAGAGGGTCCCAGTGATGCAGCCGGGGGGTTCCCTGTGTCACTGGGAAGGAGAAAAACGTGGGGTTTTCTGTTCAAAAGGGACTGACGTGACCCGAAACTCGAGGGCAGGGTGCTCGGGCTGAGGGGCTGAGGCAGGCTCTGGCGGGCCTTGGGTAACTCCAGCTGCGGTCATCCAGTCACCCCAGAAAAATAAGAGGGGAAAGCACCTTTGTGCTTCGGTCTCTTGTTCCTGATGGTTTATGTGAGACTGCCAAGCATTTGGGACAGTTTTACAGGTTTTCCTCTCTGCTGGGAACTAGAACACTTTTTCAGGCCAGCCCGCAGATTTCTCCCCCTCGGAGGGACAGAGGGACAGCTGCACAGGTCACCCCAGCTGGCCGCTGGGCAGGCAGCACCCGAGTCACAACCTGGAGCCTCCGGGCAGCAGGTCTGGAGGACACTGGCGCCCAACGTGTCCATCTCTCCGGTGCAAGGGAAGGTCCATTGGGCAGGGAGAGTGCCACAACTCCCACAGGGTACTCAGTGAGCCATGAAAAAACACCTACAAAGATGGGTAGCCCTGAGATGTAAAGGCTGGCTTGCATGCCCATGCCACCTCTCTCCCCAAATACCCAGCTCTGTCCTATTCAGCCCCAGCTTTTAAGTCTCCCAACTAACTGTCCTACACTGCCCTAAAATAGCTATCTGTAACAGCTGATGAGGAGCTGTACAGCTTTGCTTATCATTCACTCCCAGCACCAATTAAAAAGATTTAGTTAAGTAAAATGCAATTACACTGTCATGGATAAAAGGGATACAATTAATTAAAAAGGAATACTTTCCCCTAGGAATGCTGTTATTTCCAGATGCTCCCAGCCCTGTCCCTGACTACTCCTTGTGAGCTGAAGAGATTTGGGGTGGGGAGAACTGGGGTTTTGGGCAGTTCATCTCCCCATCTCGCTGACCCACATGTATTTCTGAGGTCAGTTAGCAAGACCCTTGAGGACACAGATCTTCTCAGGAGCCCTAAAATATCGTTTCCAACATAACTGACATGGTTCTCCCTGCTTTTCCAGGAAGATGAACATTCCATAGAGGCTGTCTGGCACCAAGCTGGGACTTCACTGCTTTGAGGAGAAAATTGGGCTTTTTGTCAACTGTGAAGGAATGGGGAGCAGCCAGAGACTATGGGATGTGTGGTATGGCTGGAAGGATGTACCAAAATCCGTAGGGAAGCAGTTGAAGTGAAGTTTCCCATCTCGTATCCTTTGGGAAGGGAGGAGACGTGCCCCCCCTCCCAGCTGGCTGCACAGGCAGGCACCCAGGCTGCTGGTTTCCCAGCCCCGTGGTGCAGAGACGCTTGGCCCCAGCCAACACCTCTTCCATGAACAGTCGGATCCAGAAAGCTCAGCTCTGAGCAAGGTGCAGGTTTCCCAGCATGGGAGCTTTAGATTGCAGAGGATCCTGCTGAGAATGTGTGTTAATAAATAAAAAGTATTTATCTAATCATTGCCATGTATCGATATTGGCATTACTGTCAAACCACAGAAAAATGACACAGAGGAGGAGGCTGCAGGTTGCCAGTGGAGTTTGATGAGAGGCTGAATGCAATTTTCATATCCTCAACAGAAGTCACACGCAATTCAAAGCACCACCCAGCCACAAAGGGCTGCTGAAGAGCACAATGTTTACTAACTAAAAACCAGTTCTCCAGTTTTCCAAAGCCTGAAGTTTATGCTGAATGCATCCATAACGCATCTTCCCTTAGTGAAATTATTGATGATTTCAGTTGCAAATGTAACAAAGGCAATTTAATTTGGTTCACAGCTAAGGAGTTTTTCTGTCTGAGGGTTGTTGTTCTTTGAAGTACATTAAAGCCGTCACAGTAAATGAGAACTGTAATAAAGGAATGGCTTCTCTGCTCATACTACATACAGGTGAAAATTTTAATATGCATGCTGGCCATATCTAAAGATTGAACTCATCACTTAATATATGAGTCACTAATTATATTTTCATCCCTCTGTTCCGAAGTCTTCTGTTGTTCAAAGAGTGAGATCATGTCACCATAAATTTGCCAACACATTTCTTAGCTTTTTGTGCTAAACATCAAGGTGGAAGACAGCATCTGGCCTCAAACCCCCCAATATTTTTTCCTGTTTCATTTGGTGTCAGCACTGGTCATGCTTTGCCTGGTTAACTCTCTTCCCGCTGGCATGGTCCAGTAAAGGCCCAACCAACCATCCAGGGCAGCACACAAGCCTGAGCTACAAGTGTTTCTGATCTGAGCAAAAGAGCCAGTTTGGTTCTCAATGGCACCAGTATGAAGCTGGAGCATGCATCAATGCAGGCAGCTGCTCTGCCACGACACAGAGCTGAATTTCACCCAAAGTATTTAAACAGTTAATGGTAGCTCCAAATGATTATCCATTTATTTCAGTATTTGTCTTTT